TGGGTTTGACGAAACCTAGTAGATCTGGGTTCGGTGGAACCCAGGCTGGGTTCGATGGAACCCAATTTGCTGGGTTCCACTGAACCCAATTTGCTGGGTTCCACTTAACTCAGTTTGTTGGGTTCCACTAAACCCAGCAGACACAGAGGAAGAAGAGGAAGAAAGAAAAAGAAAAAAAAGAAAGGAAGAAGATGATCGAAAGAGGGGAAGAAGATGGATAAAAAAAGGGAGATGGGTAAATTTGTAATTTTCTATTTTTTTATTAAAGCAAAATCGGTTGATGAGTTGGTGATGAGTTGGCAATAACGTGTCTTAAAAAAAAATTCCAAATCAACGTTCTTTTAAATTATTTTTGCCATGTCATCAAAAAAATGATTAAAAAAATGCCACGTGTCGTAGTTAACGGTCTAAATTGACAGAAGGACTAACGGTGTGCATTTCTTAGAGTTGAGGGATCAAAAAAATGCAAAAAATTATTAAGGGACCAAAAATGTGCAACTCACTAAAGTTGAGGGACCAAATTTAGCATTTAACCTAAATTTTAACACCATGGTATTTTTTGTGGAAAAAAAAAAAAAACAGCATGGTATTTTTCTCTTCTGACCACATATCATGCAGATTACTTCGTCTCCTAGTCTCATTTAATTTTCTGACATAAAGAAGGCGATGGAGTCTGTGTCCCGTACCGTGTCATGTAGAAATCAGAGGTGTACTGCAAAAAAGACAGCGAGCATGGAACGAGCTATTGGTGGTTCAAAAACCCTATAAGCCTACTACAACCCTGTAATTCTCCCAAAGAGCAATGCTAGGGACACTCGCCAATTGCACTCTCCAACCAACACTTCTATTTTCATTGGGCCACGTTATTTTGGTTTAAAGATAATCATTTCAAAACCTAAAGCAAGCTTATGTGACTCAATAAAAGGGCATGTGTTGGCTGGAGAGTACAGGGGCGAGTGGCCCTAGTACTGCTCTTCTCCAAATGCCAAATGACTAAATGGGAGAACCAATTTCCATTACCTATTTTCAAAAAAAAAAAAAAAAAATAGAACCAGTTTTAACGTTGAAGTCATTTCATTTTAGGTTAAATATCTGGTTTGGTCCCTCAACTTTGATTTTTTAACTAAATCTACCCTCAAACTTCAAAAAGTATTAAAACTATCCCTAAATTTCAATTTTTGGGAACAATTTCGTTTTTTGTCGACGGAAGTGCCAAAAGGCACTTTAAATTGCTACGAAATCAATTCTTGTTTTAAATCTTTAATGACACAAAAAATAACTTACCCACTATGAGATTTTTAGGTTTTATGCCTTTTTTGGTCCCTCTATTATTGAAAAAAAGCTCTTTTTTGGTCTCCATACTGAAAAAAGCTCTTTTTTTATTCCTAAAGTTTGAAACTCAATCCTTTTTTATTCTATCCATCAGTTAAGTGACAGCATGACACAATAATTCATTAAGTATTTTGTTTTTTTTTCTTTTTAATGGTGATATGTGATTACACGTTAGTCAATAGGGTCCATAAAAAGACATGAAAATGCCAAGTGGGAAAAAACTGATGATGTGGACCAAAAAACTATTTTTTTTTTCACAAAAATACTTAGAAATATAATATTGATAAAAATGATAATGTGAATAGGAAAAAAATATTAAATTATTATAATAATTTTACTAAAATAATTTATGTGTGGTATTTAATTTTTTTACTGTTTAAATATAAATAAAATATTATATAATATTATTGTAATAATTTTAGTACTTATTTAATATGTAATATTTAATTATTTATTTCCTTTAATCAAATTTAATAATTTTAATTTTTTTATTGTTTAAACATAAATTAAATAGAATATTATATTAGTGTAATAATTTTGTTAGACTCATTTAATATATAATATTTAATTATTTATTTCTTTTAATCAAAATTAATAGTTTTAATTTTTTTTTTAACTTTTCAAACATAAATTAGATAAAAATTTAACAATTTTCAACACAAAATTTTGTTTTTTCCATCCTCTCCAAAATTAATTTTTCACAGCAATTCTTTTCTCTTCATTATTACTCGATACATTTCAATTTCAAATGAAATTTCTTCTTCCCATAATCTATCGCCTCCCCTCTACCAATTTCTTTGGCAATGATATAAAGGGCAGACAAAATATTTTATTTCATTATTTTACCTTAACATAGTAATATCCACATTTTTTTTCCCCAAGAAATGAAATGGAGCCCTTGAAATTGTTTTTGTAAGTTTAGAGTCATTATGTGAGGCTAAATTCCTTGTTGAAAGTAACAAAAGTAAAAGACTATCATTAGGAAAATTTTCAACTAAAAAGAAACATTAAAGCACTAAACCAAGCCAATTTTATGAATTTAACACCAGTTCTAACTTTAACAATTTTCAAGAAATGAGAGACATTTTAACAATAATCGTGTGAATTTGAGAAAGCCTGAACATAAGAATAGAAGTGCATATAAAATATTAGCCCAAAGAATGAATTGAATTTTCGAACTTGAGAGGTGAAGGGTGAACAATGGTCTCCTCGATTTATGGGTGTCATTAGAGATTGGCAGATTCCATGTATGCGGAATATTGAATGAGCTTACAATAACTCTTGAATGATATAATAACAACAATAATAATAATTGATATTAATTTAGGCTGATTTTTTTTTTTTGTATTATATAATTAGAATCCAGAAAATCAGGACGTTTAAACTCAGAATGTCTTGATTTTTACTTTTTCGTTGTATAATTACTAAAAATATAGAAAACAATAATTAAAATTGATTAAACTGTATCAAATTAACATTTTTAGTAGTGTAAAGTGCAGAAAAATGTTTTGTAATCCTAAAATCAACCTAAAAATTGTTTTCCTCAAATGTACATTCAGATAAGAAAAATTAACATGTATCTTTATTGAATATCAAAACTTTTTTATAATTAAATACCAAACAGAATATCATGAATAAAACTACTTCACAATCACGTTTGAGTTTTGTAAGGATTAAGGGAGTATTTCGTTTGTCTATTATTATATTTGCTATCAACTCTTTGTGCTTGATTTACAACGAGGGAAGCACAAAATTCATTGGACTTTGACAATTTCTATGAAAGATCAGTTTTCAGAGGTTATGTTTCATTAATATCAACTTGCTCAAACAAAATTCTGGTCCTACAATAGTAATTTTTTAATAAAACATAAAAAATAAAATAAAATAAACATCAAGGAAACAATCCTTTATCTGAAATTGAACCTAATAATAAAAA